GTTAAATGCTCTAATGTCGGGAGCTCAAGTGTTACGATGCTCAACTGTCTGTGCTCAACTGTCGGTGCTTAACTGTCCGATGCTCAACTGTCATGTCACCCAATTTTTTGTACTTGCTTCAAAGCAATTTCTTCACCCTTGTTAATAAACGATCGCATGCCTAGTGAAATTTGATCTTCTAGAAGAACACTTCATCTTTTTAACATCTCCAGTGCTAAATGCATTTTTTAATTTGTTTTCATTATCTTGAATAATTTGAAGAAAAATATCTTTACAAGGGTGTGAATGTGGGTGTAGAGTGAGGATACCCGCGCGTGTGGCTATAAGTCAAGAAATAAACTATGCCGGCACCCACACTCACACCTAGATTATAAAACAAGTTCCAACGTTCACTGGGCTACACAATTACGACTTCATCGGGCAGTTTAAGTTGCAGTTTTCTAGAACTTTATTAAATTTTACTTTTCGTTCGAATGAGTTCGGTAGATAACTCAATCTAATCGTAAATACACAGGACATAAGGATTTTATAGGTGACCGATGACTCATTGAATATAGCTTAAACAAATTTAATGAATGACATGTAATTGATGAGGAATATTATGCATTATTCTCAAGAAACTAATCCGGGTATTAATTAAAATGTATAAAATTGAAGTAGTTTGTGATATAGATATTTTATTAATATTAAATAATCGAAAAAAAGTAGAACAACGATGGAACAAAAAAACAACGAATGAATAATGTTTTATTAGTATTCTGGATTAAAAGATTATTTGAGATTCGACGCTTATATGCGGTTTTTTCTAAATTAAAAAAAAATATAGAAATTGTAGAGTACGATACAGTGTTCATGATAATAATCTTAAACAGGGAACGTACGAATGATAGAATAAAATGTCAAACACAGTCGATGAGCAATCGAATAGACTGCTTTATTGACATAGACCGACAATTTTTACCGAGATTCTTTCTGTGAATTATCATGAAACAGTTTCTTTGAATGCAACATACCTGGTCTGTTGATCGCTGCAAAGAGTTCAACCAATAGGACGAGGAACAGGCCGCCAAGTAGGATGAGGAACAGGCCGCCAAGTAGGACGATACGGTGGACGCACAGGAACGACCGGTGGAGGACGAGTGAAAGTTCAAATATTTCATTTCACTCAAAGTAAAAAGTTGAATTAGAAAATTTAATAGAAGATGAGATGGTAGATGAATTGAAAAAAGGACCTGCTATACCTGCGCGAGGAATACGAACAACATCATCAATATCACGACGACGTTTGTTAACCATCACATTAAAGAGTTGGTCATTTTTGTATTGACTCTCTGCATCAACGCTGCTCTCCTGCACATCTAACATCGTCTCCTCTGCCATGTATGCCGGACCAATTATTAACGCCACAAAAATAATAAATGAAACGAGTTTTATCTTACTGATCATTTGTTGATAGTGGTGATCACTAATAGAAAAATAGATGCTGATGTGCAAGATGTTCTTAGCAATATGTGAATATGAGTGATTTTATACAGAATGTCTGGTCTTTATATAGTATTGAATAGTTGTGGAATGAGCAATATGGAAAAAACCTTTTCTGTGCAGACATCAGTGAAGTAGATTCAGGAAATGATAATTTACAATGATAATTACTCTAACGTCATAATGTGAAAATTATTTTTTCAATGCAGCATGTGAACAACAGGATTGACCCTACTCCTAACTAGATGTTCTTGTATGTAATAATCTGGGTATGAAAAACATTGGTTGTGTGTTATGATGTTCATGAGTCATCCTGATTCCTTTCTTTATCTTTTCTAACTATCCATAAGAAAAGAAAAATCACTTACGACTATCTACACTCTCATCTTGTTTACCTGCCAATTCAAGCGTGGCGTACATTATATGCATAATTAAATATGCCATTTCGTCATAATATCAACGAGGTAGTCTCAAAGAGAAAATATATAATTAAGATGTCTATCAACCAATATAATAAAACATTAAATTAAAAATTTATTCATGCAACACGTATCTGATGGAAACGAGAAAAATACAACACTAACGAGGAAAATTCCCCAAGCTTCCAAGGATAGATGTGGATGTGGGAGTAGTTCATCGTTTGAATCACGTTACTTACACCCAACCTGCTTTTTTTAATCAGCTGAACTTGCAAATTCGAGTTTTTCGAAAAGAAGTTGTGTTTAGTTATTGGAGTATATCAAAATGAAAAACAAATTTGAGAATAAAATTTCCTAGTTGTCATGTACTTGTTACATTTGACACTACCCAAAGCAAAAAATGATTTAACTTCATTTGTTTTATTCAATTATAAAATTATTGTTCTATTAGAAGAATAATATTTAGTTTTCTCCTATTCAAAAGAATGCAAGTTCAAGGGCGCCCACCAAACACTAATACATGTGTCAGTTATTAAAATTTTCTCTTTTTTTTTCGTTTTGATGATTTATTTTCCTGTTGTGTGTCGCATACATGCAGTATTTTATTGGGCACAGTATCAAAGAGTGAATCATATAGTCGTACTTATGTCAGTCGAGACAGATTCCATGTAGAGCTTGAAGGTGTGGGTGTGGGTAGGTGTGGATTTGGGTGTGTGGGTGTGGATCTTTCTTTACAATACACCCACATCCACACCCACACCCCACATCCTCCACACCCACCCTCTGAATACGACAAAGATGATATTTACTATTTCTTGATCTTTTACTTTTAGACTGCATAAACAACAACAAAAATGCAACGTAATTCTTAGACTCAATCTGCACTAAACGAACTGAAATTGCATTAATGAATGTTGTTCGATAAAAATTTATGTATTGTAATGCATCAATAATTTTGTTCATTTTATCATCGTCACATATAGAGAGTACGAATGTGTGTTCTGCTGAGAAACGAAGAGAGCAAGAGCATGAAAGAAAAGCGGTTTCTCGTGCTTTGAATAGCAGCTTTACTTCGTTGTTTACATTTATTTTCAATCAGTCAACGTTGTCGATAGAGCAGTTTTTACCACTTCTGTATGTTCTACCTTATCTAAAAGAAACATCGTTAGGACTTTTTACAAGTATTTACTACAGAAACGTTGAATCTATACTGCATCGACTTGAGAGATTTTCTACGACTGCTCACTGTACATATATCACGATGGAATGTTTAATTTTATAGATATTTCGTCAACTATGCAATCAACTGTCGTTCTTGTTACTGGTGCTAACACAAGTTTGGGCTTTGAAGTTGTGAAGACACTTGTAGTTGTTTCGAAGGATCCCAATAAGACTATTATTCTACTCGGGAGTCGTGATATGCAACGAGGACAAGATGCAATATCTCGATTGGATTCGCTGTCGAATGTACACTTACTTCAATTAGGTACTTCATCGCAAGATAGTATCGCTCGTGCTACTAATGAAATTAAAGAAAAATACAATAGTTATCTTGATATTATCATTAATAATGCGGGTATAGCAAAATAAGAAGAAACAATTGATATGGCTCGAGAAATATTTGTTACGAATTATTATGGTGTCAAAATGATCAATGAGTATATGTTTCTACATTTACGAGAAAATGGTCGCATTGTGAACGTATCAAGTGAAGTAGATTCTTTGACTTTGCACAGCGCATCAAACGAATTTCAGCAATGTCAAGGGTCCAAAAAATATCCACTTTACCTAAAGTCCTCTATGAATATGTGGGACTTTACATATCTTATGAAATGTCACGTATATCAGTAGTGATAGGAAGAGCAAAATATAAATGCTCCACTAGCGGATATTTCTATA